TGGAACTTTTAAGAGTAAAGTATGCACTGCAGTGAAAGTTGTTCTTTTTTTTTTTTTTTTTTTAAAAAAAAAAAAAGGTAGTATTAAATAAGATTCATAATTCGCAAACTTGTGAAACAAAATTTTCATGTAAAAATGAATCAGTACATGTTAATTAATTGCAAATTTATACATATCAAACCAGTTAATTTAACCGGCTTGAGAAGTTAAAGACAGAACTATTTAAATAATAAATGATTAGATTAGATTTTTAATAAAATAAACGATATAGCAATTAAAAAACTTCTTGTTACACGAAAATGGATTTTTATAAGTCGGAATTCAAAAATGCGCAATTGAATTGGTGTCGCAGTTATAGCGCTAACAATGCTTCTATTTTAAGAAATATACGAAAGTTTATTTTATTAACAATGTACAGTAACTATAAAATTTTATAATAGATATGTTTCTTAAAAACTTAATTTAGAGAGTTTTATCATAAGTAACGAAAAATTAGAAATCTAAAGTAAAAAATAAGAAAATAAAAGGATTAAATTTCATTTTAATTCAAGTATATTATAAAATACGTTATTTATATTTTATTTATGTGAAATTAATGATATTTTATTGAAAATGAGCTTATTTGTATATATTTTGAATTTATACGTTTTTATTTCGTGTTTTAATATCGATGGTTGAGATTATCAAACTTTCCATAAAAAACGTTTAAATATCAAGAGCAAAATGAAATATCATAAATTTGTTTTATTATATTTAATAAATGATAATGAATTGATTGCAAAATTTTTATTAAAATTTACTGTGAAATGAGAATGCTTTATGACGAATTATGAACATTATGACGTATGATGAATTATTCTAAATTTCTAAATTTCTATATTTCTATCTAAATTTATCTATAACTCGATAATGATAAATATTTCAATTGTAACAAATAAATTTTTATAATTTTGAATATCATTATTAAATTGATTAATATTTAACAAAAAATGAAGGAATTTCAAATATCTCAGGTCGTCGTCTTAAAGGTTCAATGAATGCCGGCAAAACAGACAAATAAATAATTAACAATAAGAACCATTTAAAGAACCTTTTAATTTTTGAATACTCATTTATATTTTTACGACCAAAAATAGCCTCCCACAAGATGAATATCACACCATGGATCATAAAGAAAAAGAGGTGTTCACCTGTCCAAATATTAAATTGACCAATGATAAGGTATTCATGCAATAAAGCGCTAACACCGAATGCACCTAACACGCCCATCATATTTGCGATTTTCTTAGGAACGAATGGAGCGAACACATTCTTAACAGGTAAAAAACCTAGTTCTTTGAAGCTTTCACTAATCATTAATTGCCAACGAGTAGACCAAAAGTCACGAGGACTTGATGCCATCCATGGTTCACTAAACAAATGTTTTGTATTGAAAAGGAATGTGATCATCCATTCTTTTAGGGAGACATACTCGGAAGGAGTGAGAAGACCAGATTTAATTAAAATAGGTTTATGATTAATTTCTTCCGATGAGGAATGAAGGAATAAACGGTAGAAGGTTGCATTAATGATAGTGTATATATCGTAACTATATACGGACAACATTAAATATACACATAAAAGGAAATTTAAGTATTGTAACATTGAAGACATTGTAAACGCAGGGATTCCTTTTGTGAAAAATTCTAATAAACGAAGTTGGTATGGTTTCTCTGGAATTATCATTGTATATTTAGTTGAGATTAATGTTACAAGATCGAGAATAAGAATTTTTGTAAAGGTAATAATAGTGCGATTAATTATTTTTTTGTTAATTTGTGAAGTCGTCGGTGATGTAATAATCAAGGAATTTTCTTTTTCGTTAGAATTTTCCTTTTTTGGAGGAATGATGTAAGAGTTAAACCGTGAATTAAATATCATCCAGAGGAATGACTTAAATTCTTTCTTTTGATTCGAACCTTCTTGATTCAAGTATGACCGATTATATTTTATGAACAATAACATTTTTAATCCAAGCAATACTCCATAAGCCACAAAAGCGTTTTGAATAGTAGGAGGATATAACTCGCGAAAACTTAACGGAATAGAAACAAATATAAGAGCGAGCGATAATAAAGTATAAAATCGTTTACTTGATTGAATAGGTTCAAATGAAAGTGATAAAAATAATAATAATGGAGTAAAAAATATTGAAGAATATACTGAGGTTGGTAATTTTGGAGGAAATTCTTGCCATGTAGATAATGGAGAATTACATAAGAAATTTAACGTGTGAGCTGTCGTTACTGAAAGTGGTATGTAAATCAAATTTGATTTGGTGAAAATGCCAGATTGCGACATACTGAAATTTTAATGTCGATACTTTTTAAAATACTAAAAGAATTAACTGAAATAGGGTTACTTTATGTGAAAGCTTTTTAAAAAATATGAGTTTGAAAGATTTAATTGAATTGTTGGAGAAAACCTTTGAATCCTCACCGCTCTATATATACTTTTTTTTTTTTGTATTTTTAAAAAAGAATTTTGGAAAATCATTATTACAATGATATTTCTTACGCCAATCCTTTAAAATTTCGAGAATTTTACTAAAAAAGGTTACTACAAGCATAAAATACAGGTTTAGCTAATTTTAGATTAAGGAGAATTTACGGCTTGCCTAAAATAGCTAGTCTAGCGATGTTTGTGGAAATCTATTTATTGTAACAATTATAACATTGTAACAATGTTATATTTTTGGACTTACTATTAATAGGTCAATATAGGTCTTCTTATGGCCAAGAATACGTCGTACATGATTTATTATTATTATTATTATTTTTTTTTTTGTACTTTGGTAATTTTGGTTAACGGAGCGTAAAAATTTCACAATTATAACGGAAAACAGAATTGCGAATTTGATAATTTTGATTAAATCATTTTTCATCGTTTTGTTTATCAAATCATTAAATCTAAATTTTTAGACAAACTCATTCGGTTTGAACTCAATCGATCAATATAATAAAGGTAGAAAAAAGGCCACTAATAAATTTATATACAATGCAATAAAGAAATAGATGAATAATCCAATTTCGATTAAATTTGATTTTGATGCTTTTAATGATTCTTACAATTGTTTTGCGCTCCTTAATTTTTTTTATTCTCAACTTTTTCTTTGTATTTTGTTCTATGAGATGTTCGAAAATAGAAAAAAAATATATTTGATTAATTACACAAAAAACAAACAGCACAAAAGAAAATATCTATGCAGAAGAAATTGCTGGAAAAAAAATTTTATTCCCCAGTATTATTATTGTACAGTATTATTTGTGGCTTTCTACGCTGGAACCTTTCTTAAAAAAGAATTTCCAAAAAAATTTTTGAAAGTACAAAAAGTATATTAATCTTGATAAATAAGTTATCTTATTGAAATATATTCAGAAAGATGTTTTAAATTAAATAATTAATCAGGTTTTGGTTATTAATTTTAAAAAATATATATATATAAGATAATGATTAGTTATAATTATTAATTTTGCCGTATCGTATTTTGTCATAAAATCAAAGTTTATCTCACCAATGAATCGATTTGCGGAGTGATCTACAAGGGGACTTGTTCAAGGGTAACAAAAAATAATGATGATTTACGTTTATTTATATTGCAAACAATTGTAAAAAGGTAGCAGAAGCTTTCATTGATTAGAGATAGTATTAATTAATTAATCAAGTATTGCATTTGAATTGGCGTTTTAAACTTCTGAAATACAATTTATTAACAATTTAAATGTTAATCACTAAATACAAATTAATAAAATTACGAATTGAAATAACGATTACAACGAAGTGATAATATCAAAAGGTGAAAAGGAAAAGGATTGGTGTGTATCCGTGTGCAAAAATAAATGGAAAGCGAAACCTGCTAAAAATTACAAGAGAAACCAGTTATATATATATAAAAAAAATATTTATTAGGACAGCCTGGCGCCCTACCAATCTGGTAGCCTACCATGTTAGCGCAAATTGATCTGCAAAGAATAACTTGAATTATCCTGAACTATCTTTGGGCCAAAATTATCGTTTTTCGGGAGGAATTATATTCAATGTGACTATACGTATTTTTTTTTATTTTAATTGATATTAAAGTTCAAATAAGCTGAATTCAAATAAATTCCTAAATCTGGTTCATCATTTGTAAACGGCCCGTGAAGATTCTCTTTATTATTAAAATAATGTATTTGTACTACACAGCTGACAAAGTTGTGAAACGTAACCCATTACAATCCTTGCTTCGTTCTAGATATCAAAACCCACTTTTTTGGGCCCGAGCAAGTCTTTGATAGGCTTACAAGTCCTCATGAGTTACACAGAGTTGTTAATGAAGATGACAACGAACTTAATAATACATCCACCTTTCCTTACTGCTATGTTGAATAATTCGCGAGTGTCTTCGTTGGAGCTAATGATTTGTTGAGACGTCTGTTGTAATTTAATAATTCGCCTATAACTTGATTTCAGATCTCTTCTGGAATGTCATTAATATATTCGTTATCATAATCTTCCTTTAGTCGAAGAGTAACTTCATGATTTAAATTTCCTTATCGAGAATGGCTGTTATGATGTAGAATACCAAGGTTGTACCAGTTAGAATCTGTAATATATATGTTTTTGTCATAGAGATGAGAGGAAAGAATTTTCTAAATTCAAAAACGGTTACAGCTTTAAATCTTCTATGGAATTCCATAACTTGAAGTCAACGTTAGCGAATGTTTGTGTATTCTTCTCTTGATTTACGTCTCTTCTTTTGATAACGAATTCATAAAGTTTTTCAGCAGCGACCAAATAATAGCATAGGTGACATTTTTTATAATCAAAATTTATTGGACAAGCACATTTTTAATTAATTTAATCGTTAAAATATATTTTATTCAAAATAAATCATTATCAAAATCAAGTTTAAAGTATAAATCTTTATTTTATAATAGTAATTTACTTTCATACCCATGATAAATAAAAATAAAGTCTAACTATTTATTTTTTCCAAAAAGATAGTCGCATAATTGACCAAGCTTGTTGGCGATCGTTACAACGAATTTTCGAACACTAATAAAGATAATATGTTAATAATCAATAAAAGGGTAAAACACATGATTCAGAAGATAATTATTTACTTTGTAGTGATATCTTGAACTTTAGCCTTAATCCAGTTCCACAAGCTCTTGAAAAATGCGATAATTTCATTAAATAGTTCTTCAAACCATTTATTGAGTTTATCGATTATGTTCATGCTCCAGGAAACAAATTCTTTGTACGCATTGAATTTCTCCGTATAAGCTTATTATGAGAGAGAGGTTGTTAATAATTTTAGTCATATAGTTGTCAATGACGTGGAGCTTTACCTTCATTTTTTTTTACAGATTCCTTAAACGATTCGTTAGGGACTTTCTCTGGTTTTTTGGGCAAGTTGCTGATGACATATTCCTCCATTTTATCGGATTTTTCAATGAGTGATTTTTTCAAAAAAGAGAATTTTTCTCGTACAAGCTTCTCAATATCAGCTTCATCCATTTTCACCAACTCATTCCGGACATCTTCTATCTGAAATATATTAAGAAATAGGATACATAATAATGTTTAATGTTTAATACAAATAGTACTCATATATAAGCACCTTTTTTTCAAAAATTTCAATATCCTTTTTAGTATCTTTCTGATAATTAATAGCAATATTTTTAAACCCTTCGCGTAGATCGGTGATTGTCATGGTGAATTTTGGAAAAAAAATAAATAAAATATTAAATTTCCATGACTTCAACTTACTGCCTTTAAATAGGCGCAATGCATAAAAAAATTTTATCACAAGTATTATGAGGTAATCGTTCGAATTAGGCTTAAAAATATTTTTTTATTTTACATTATCGTTTACGTCATTAATATAAAGTCCTTGGGAATTAATTCATTTTTAAGTTTTAATTGTAATTCTCGGAGATTGTAAATTTTCAGCAATTCAATAATAATCACAAAAAAAAAAAAAAGAATGTATGCGTCGGACCGATTTGGCGATCAATGACCATTGATTATCAAGAACGTTTCCGGATTTTTCTTTTTGTTCAAATCTTTCACATGTCTAACCGAACCGCTTTTGTATTCCAGTAACCCATAATCATATCAAAAAGATCTTTCATCAGTTCACTTCAGCGTAAATTCAAAGATTCAAAATCCCATTCATTCCCCCATCCGTATTCTTTAGCCTGCCATGTGTTCCGCATATGAGTTTATACATATTTTGCCAAAGTTCTTGTTTCACTATACTAAATCAAAAATTAGACAACAATTATGTCTTGAAATTCTATTTACGTAATCAACTATCATTCAGAGATACTTTTCTCAGTCTCGACAACGATATTTTATATTTTGCAGTAATATAACACTAATAATTTTAATTACTTGTAAAATTATTATGTATAATGAATAATATACTGCTTATACTTGCACCAATTTTCCATTATGGATACTAGATTTGAATTTAAGAATACTGGTTTATGTTTCCTTAAAATTAGTCGCATGCATGTGAAATTGAACCATCAAAAAATATATTTAATAATAAACTAGATCTGCATTTGCGCGGGCTATTTT